ACAGATGGTTTGTGAGCACTTAGAAAAGGAACCTGATATCCCTGTACATGGCTGAGAAATGTAAGCAAGTTGACAGCCTCATTAAGTTGATTTGTAACTGGTTTGAGACTTAATACCCAATCAGTGCAGACTGTTATCAACCTGGACAGATACCTTCGACATGCCAAAGTATATTGATCACTGTGGCCTTTTCAGATTTGGCATATTTATTACTTAGTCATTCTTTAAGAAGCTGTTACAAAAATTTTATCATATGCAAATGAAGACACACTGTGTGTAAGCTATGCAAGCACAATAAGGAGATAGTCATGAATTGTTCAGCTTGAGATGTAGAATATCATCAATACCATTGATCTCTCTGTGCTCTGTCCCCGGACCACCTTTAGAGGAAACCTTGACACACTGAATTTCCTTCTTATCAGTTTTTTTCTGTTACAATTAGTTTTAAGTATATTTATATTTATATAAGACATGGTCTCACTATGTAGTCCTGGCTGGTCTGGAACTCGCTATGTATACCAAGCTAGCCTTGAAATCACAGAGATCTGCTTGCCTCTGCCTCCTGAGTGCTGGGATTAAAGGCATATACCACCAGGCCTGGCCCGTAAAAGTTGTTAATAAAACTACTATTGGGACCAGAGAGATGGCTCAGTGGTTAAGGACACTGGTTGTTCTTGCAGAAGACCAGGTTTGAATCCCAGCACCCACATAGCAGCTGACAACTGTCTGTAACTCCAGTCCCAGGGGATCTTACCTACATGCAGGCAATACACGCATACACATAAAATAAAATAAATAAAATTAAAAAAATAAAACTATTTTAAGTTTTAATTTAATTATTTTAAACAAACAAATTACTACTTTAATTTTGCTTGAGCTTTATAAGGAAGTATCACCTTGTATACATGCCTTGTTTCCCTCCATTCAATATTGAAGATTCATCCACATTGTTCTATGTAGCTGTCACTTTCATACCTATGATATTCCACTTCACGATGATGCCTCATAATTTTTATTGCAAGTAGTAATTCCTTTAAAATATTTTATTATTTTTTAAATTTTATGTGTATAAATATATTGCCTGCATGTATGTAAGTATACCCATATAGTGCAATGCCTTTGAAGGTCAGAAGGTGTCAGATTCCCCTGGAACTGGAGTTAAGGATGGTTGTTAGCTGCCATGTGGGTGCTGGGACTTGAACTCTGGTCCTCTGCAAGAATAGTCAGTGCTCTTAACCACTGAGCCATCTCTCCACCGCCCCCCCCACCCCTGCTACCTACTTTCTTAATTTCTAAATTCTTTCTTTGGCAATCACAGAGGCTTGAAGAGTCTCCAAGTCCTCTCTGTGATGAATGACTCTCATTGAGCAGACAGTACTAAAGGAGACAGAATTTAGACTCACTGGAGATCAGTCTCATGATTACTTGTGAAAGTAATCTGAAATGACAACTTTTTCTTCCTTACCTCCCTCCCTCCCTCCCTCCCTCCCATCTTTTGGAGACAGGGTCACCCTGTAGTCCCAGCTGCCCTGAAACTTACTTTGCAGGCCAGAATGGTCTTGATCTCACAGAGATCCACCTGCCTCTGCCTCCTGAGTGGATTAAAGATGTGTGCCACCATGCCTGGCTCAACATTTTCTTATGATTTGCTTCTGTGTATAAATAGTAGAGTATAGGCCAGCTGTGTTGGTGTACACCTCTGCACTCTTGAGGCTGAGGCAGGTGGATCTCTTTTGAGTTTGAGGCCAGCCTGGTCTAGGTAGTGAAACCCTTTCTCAAAAAACAAAACAAAACAAAACAAAACAAAACAAAACAAACCCCCCCCCCAAAAAAAATTAGAGTACAGGGCTGAGGATGGTGGTGAATCCCAGCACTCTGGAAGATGAGGCAAAAAGATCATTTCAAGTTCGAGGCCAGTCTGGGCTACATAGATCTTGTCTCAAACAAAACAGAATGAAACAGAACAAAATAAAATAAAACAGGAGTGGAGTACTGTCCTAGTTTGTTCTTCATTGCTGTGACAAAATACTCTGACCACTACCAACTTGGGGAGGAAAGGGTTTATTTAGCTTACATCTCCCAGGTCACAGTTCATCAGGGAGCCCAAGGTAGGAACTCAGGGCAGGAACCTGGAGGCAGGAGCTGGAGCACAGGCCATGGAGGAACACTGCTTACTGGCTTGCTCTCCTGGCCCCTGCTCAGCCTGCTTTCTTATCCAACACAGGCCCACCTGCCCAGGGGTGGCACCACCCACAGTGGCTGGGCCCTCCCACATCACTCATCAAGAAGATGCCTCTCAGACATGGCCACAGGTCAGTCCAATAGAGGAAATTCCCCAATTGAGGCTCCCTCAACCCAGGTGTGTCAAGTTGACACTAAAGCTATCCAGCATAAATACAATTTTAATTTAGTTAGTGCTAATGTTTGTCAGAGTTTAAAAATTCTATTAAGAAGTGTGAATCAATTCATACACACCCATGATTACAAAGGGAAGTTATGAGTATTTGGAATGTGTCCCTAGCTATCTGAGCTGCTGTCACAAAGGGTGATACTAACACTGAGTGAGCTGGCAAAGGAAAGCCCATTCTAGGTAAGCAGGAAGGAGGCAGGACAAGGGCATGTGTGAGCAAGACCTTGGCACATGCTTCACTGTCCCATCAGACCCTGCAAGTTCAAAGATAAAATACTAAGATTTTTGTTTGTTTTTGTTTGAGACAAGGTCTCTCTGTAGCTCCAGCTGGCCTGGAACTTGAAATGTAGATCAGGCTGGATCTCACAGATCTGCCTACCTCTGCCTCCCAAGTGCTGGGATTAAACGTGTGTACCACCATACCTGGCCCAAATACGAACAATTTTAAGACAGCAGCCAAAAACCATTAAATTTCAAGCTTGGGACCTTTATATACACAGGGCCTTGGATGAACTTTTTGGTCATTAGCTGGTGAAGCCATCCCTGCATGAAATACCTTTTCATAGAGCAGTGATTATAATAGCAAAATGTAATAACCACACTGTTGCTTAGTGATTAAGATATATAGTACAGCCACACATAAAAATACAATCAGAATTAGATATGTCTATACTGTCAGCATGTATTAGACATGGATAAAGAATGTAATAGAATATAGGTATGTAATGGTCTCATTGAGATATTAAGTATGTGTGTGTACATAGAAGGGAACATTTGTAGGCATACCCTAATATCCTAAAAGCAATTAGGAGAGGATGGAATTTTTACTTTATTTTAAAATATTTATTTTGATTCTTATTTATGTGTATGTGTCTGAGTGTATGCCATTTGTGTCTGTGTGTCTGTGTGTCTGTGTGTCTTTGTGTGGGTGTGCACTGGTATGTTTAGGTATCCTCTCAGACCAGAAGAAAGTGTTAGAGTTCCTGGAGCTGGATTTTCAGGTGGTTGTGAGCTGCCCAATGTAGGTGCTGGGAACCAAACTCAGGTCCTGTATAAGAGCAGTAAGTGCTCTTAACCACTGAGCTATATATTCTGCCCATAATTTAAATTTTTTGTTTTGTTTTTGAAACAAAGTCTCACTATGTGTGGGAGACAGGCTTGAACCTAGGGTGATATTGCAACTGTCAGGGTTATGTGGTTTCCAGGAATCCAGGCTCTGTAATCTGAAACCCAGTATGCTAATGAGGCATCCTACCCTCTATTCTGTGATAGGACATTAAATCTGTTATGCTAATAGGATGCTAAACCTGTTATGCTAATAAGGTATCCTACTTGCTGTGCTGTGATTGGACCACTACCCCTATATAAGCTTGTGCCTTCCTGCAATAAACCAGACCTGTGTCACTGAACTTGGTCTCCTGTGTCTGAATGCGGCTCTGTTGACAGTCTCCTCACCAGCCCTGGGGTCCAGGACTGGGCAGACGCAGGGATGACAGGAGGCAGCACAGGGCAAGCAGAAGAGCTGCCTCAGCCCAGGGCGAGCATAGGAGCAGCCTCGATGCCTGTGAGAACAAAGGAATGGCACCCACGAGAACGGAGGAGCGGCCGCTCCTGGCGGTGACCGCAACTATGTAGCTCTGGCTGGCCTAGAACTCACTATGTAGATCAGGCTAGCCTCAAACTCACAGATTCACCTGCCTCTGCTTCTTGAGTGCTGGGATTAAGCACATGCACCACCATGCCCAGCCCACATTTTACTTTATATACCTATGACATTTCAATTTTTAGTGTTAGAATATATTAATTCTGAAATAAATACTACAGATTTCAGGGCTAGAGAGTTGACTCAGCAGTTAAGAGCACTGGCTGTTTTTGCAGAGTACCTGGGTTGGGTTCCCACCACCTACACGGCAGCTACAACAGTCTATAACTACAGTTTCAGGGGATCCACTGCCCTCTTCTGGCTTCTTAGGGCATTGCACAACACTGGTACATTTACATATATGTAGACAAAACACTCATAAACATAAAATAAAAATAAATAATAAATATTACATAATACAGCTCTAATACTAGAGCCATGTGTCTGAACTACAGTGAAATCTGTTGGCTTATCATCATTCAAGAGCACTAAATCAGGATTGAGGAGTTAGCAGGTAAAAGGTGCATGTCGCCAACCTATTTGAATTTGATCTCCGGGACTCACACTGTGGAAGGAATCAACTCTTGCAAGTTGTCCTCTGATTTTCACATGTATGCTGTGGTACATGAGTGCCTCCCAATCCACACACAAAACAAAAAGTGTTAAAAAACAAACATAAAAAAACTGTTGAAAATAATCTTTTTTTTTTTTTTTTTTGTCTTTTTGAGACAGGGTCTCCCTGTAGCCCCAGATGTCCTGGATTCACTTTGGCAACCAGGCTGGCCTAGAACTCGGAGAGTTCTGCCTCTGCCTCCCAAGTGCTGGGATTAAAGGTGTGCACCAGAAAATAATCTTTTTGACCTGTGAAAGACTGCATAAAAAAATTCTTGAGGTAGGATTGTGAAGTCAAGACCAGTACGAGCAACATAGCAAAAGTAAAATTCTTACCATCAATGCTGGGCTCTTCAATGGGAGATGAGTCTGTATGCTCTAGGTTACCTTTTATGATCTCAATAACCTGCAGCCTCCTGACCCTGAGTAGGTCTATATCTTTCAACCCTTCTTCCAATTGTTTGATCACTTCTTTCCCAGGCTGGGAAGTCAGGACAGTAATCTGAAAATAAATCCAATAATCAATGTTTCTGTTCAGAGTGAGGAACACACAGCTTATTCAGGAAGATAAACTCAGAAATCTGTGGTAGCAGTTATTGCATTTAGTACAAAGAGGTTTTTTTGTGTGTATTTTTTGAGACAAGGTCTCCCTGAAGCCTCAGCTGGCCTGAAACTCACTATGGAGACCAGGCTGTCCTTGATCTCAAAGAGGTCCTCTTGCCTCTGCTGGAATTAAAACCATGTGCCACCACATCTGGTCAAAAGAGAGAGATTTAAATGTAACTTACAAATCAAATTTTATTTGATATCAGTCAAAAGTTTAAGAAGTGATACAAATCAAATTTCATTTGACAGATTCCAGTAGAACAGGTAATCACAGGTCTTTTCCATGAGCTAACCCCAGACAGTGATCAGTGAAAAGCCATACATAAACATGTGTTTCAGTCTCTCTCAAGCTCTCTCTCTCTCTACTGCTGGGGATCAAACCCAGGGCTTTGTACATGCTATGAAAACACTCTACCTTGAGCCACATCACAGTTCCTCTTATTTTTTTTTTTAAAAAATAGGCCAGGCAGCCAGGTGTGGTGGCACAAACCTTTAATCCCAGCACTTGGGAGGCAGAGGCAGGTGGATCTCTGTGAGTTCGAGGCCAGCCTGGTCTACATAGTGAGTTCCAGGCCAGCTGGGGCTACAGGGAAACCCTGTCTCAAAAAGACAAAAAAAAAAAAAAAAAAAAACCAGGCATGGTGGTGCATGCCTTTAATCCCAGCATTTGGGAGGCAGAGGCAGGTGGATCTCTGTGAGTTCAAGGCCAGCCTGGTCTATATATCAAGCTCCAGGCCAGCTGGGGCTACAGGGAGACCCCATCTCAAAAAGACCAAAAAAATAAAAAGATTTATTTATTTTTGTTTGTATAAGGTGCTTTGATTGTTGATATGTTTACTGGTATATGTGTCGTGATATATGGATGCTGGGAACCAAACTCTGGTCCTTTGGAAGAGCAGCAAGTACTCTTAATAGTTGAGCTATCACTCCAGCCTCAAAGGCTGGATGAGGACAGCAGAGCTGCCATGTGAGTTCTGGGAACTGAACCTGGGTCCTCTGGAAGAACTGCAAGTGCTCTTATCCCCTGAGTCACCTCTCCAACCCCCCTTATGGTTTTAGTTAAGCATCTCCTATGATTTTACTTTCTCTCCTTTTTTAAAATGTAGTATACTAATTATGTTTTTTTTTTACTTTTTAAAACATTTGTCCCATAGTTTACAATTTATATTTACAATTAATCCAAATCCACTTTCAAATAACACCATACAATATTAAAGGTAGAATACTTTGTGATAATAATCTTGAGCCAGACATGATGTCACATGCTTATCATTCCAGCAGTTGGGAGGTGGGGACAGAAGGATAAGGAGTTCAAGGCCATCCCCAGCTACATAGTAAGTCTGAGGCCAGCATAGGCTGAAACACTGTCTCAGATAAATAAAACAACCTTTTTAAAAACATTTATTTTTATTTTATATGTATGAATGTTTGCCTGCATATATGTAAGTGCACCGTGTGTGCAGTGCCTGTGGAGCCAGAAGAGGGTGTCAGAGTTCTGGAACTTGTTACCATTGGTTGTCAGCCCCCATGTGGGTGCTGGGAACCAAACTCTGGTCCTCTGCAAGAGCAGCAAGTACTCAACTAATGGGCATCACTCCAGCTGCCAACAACATCATTATCAACAATTTCTCTCTCTTTCTCTATATCTTTGCTACTGCTTATTTCACTTATCTGTAAACATATATGTATACACAACCAATATGCTGTTGCTATTATTTTAGACAAACTGTTATCTGTTTCATGAATTAAAACTAAGAAAACTTTTGGGCTGGAGAGATGATTCAGATGGTTAAGAGCACTGACTGCTCTTACAGAGGACCAGGGTTCAATTCCCAGCACCCACATGGCAGCTAATAACTGTCCTAACTGTAGCTCCGGGGATCTGATGCCTTCTTCTGACCTCCTCAGCTATTGCATGACACAGGTGCACTTATACACATGCAAGCAATACATAACATAAAATAAAAATAATAAATAAAAATATATTTTACAAAAGATTTATTTTGTTTATTTACGTGTGTGCCTGCCTGAAGTTTATATGCATCATATGCATGAAGATGCTCCTGGAGGCCAAAAGAGGGCATCAGATCTCCACAGAACTGGAGTTACAGATGGTTGTGAGCCAATATATGGGTGCTAGAAACCAAACCCAAGAGCAGTAACTGCTCTTAACTGCTGAACCACCTTTCTGGCTACAAATTTCCCTTCATTTTTGTCTGAGGAAAGTCTTTACTTTTCTGTCATATTTTTGTTTTGTTGAGATGAGGTCTCATGTAGCTCAACCTTGCCTTAAACTTACTATGTAGCTTAGGCTGATCTTGAGTTCCTGCTTTTCTTGTTTTAGCCTCTACCAAGTGCTGGGATAGCCCAGGCTGGCCTGGAACTCACTGTGTAATCTAAACTGGCCTGGAACTCACTGCTCTTCTCTCTTAGCTCCTTGAGTGTTGAGACCACATGCCAAACTCTCCTTCACTTTTGAAGAATCATTGTACAGGGTACAAAATTGTAGGTTGGTGAATTCTTTCTCTTAACACTAAATATTTTATTCCCCTCTGGTTTTGCTGGAATGGTTTTGGGGAAGTTGGACATAACTCTTATCTTTGTTCCTCTGTAGTTACAGTGTTTTCCCCATTCTGCCTTCTTTAAGCCTTTTTTTCTTTCTCTTTGAATTTTGATAGTTTGAAAATTATACTTCAGGGCTGGAGAGATGGCTGAGTGGTTGAGAGCACTGACTGCTCTTGCAGAGGACCCGGATTCGAATCCCAGAACCCACATGGCAGGTAACAACCATTTGTAACTCCAGTCCTGGGGATCCGATGCCCTCTTCTGTCCTCTGTGGGCATTGCATGATTTGGGAGCAGTTACATACATGCAGGCAATACACTCATACATGTAAAATAAAAATAAATAGAAAATTAGCTTTAGTGTAATATTTTATTTTTTTTTTCTTCCAGTTATTTTTACTACATGTATTTATGCCCTGTAGTTCTAACAGTTATAAATATCCTGTCCATTTATTTATTTATTTGCTGTTTTTGAGCCCCAGCTGGCCTGGAACTCACTATGTAGACCAGGGTGGCCTCGAACTCACAGAGATCTGCCTGCTTCTGCCTCTTGAGTGCTGGGATTAAGGCATGTGCTATCACACCTGGCTCATTCTTTTTAGATTTCAATTTTGGAGGTTTCCATTAAGCCTCTAGTTCAGGGACTGGAGAGATGGCTCAGTGGTTAAGAGTGCTTACTGCTCTTCCAGAGGATCTGAGTTTGGTTCCAAGTAACCATGTAGGATAGCTCATAATTGCTTATAACTCCAGCTCTACCCTTTTCTGGCCTCCAAGGGCATTTGCACGTGAACGGCATGCACACACACACACACAGACACATACACATTAAAAAAAAGCCTCTAGCTCAGAGATTCTTCCATCAGCCATGATGAGTCTATTAATAAAACCAAGAAAAACATTCTGCCCTTCTGTTATAGTGTTTTTATTGCTGCTATTTCCTTTCGGTTCTTTCTTAGTTCTATCCCTATGTTTATAGTGTTCACCTGGCCTCATCTATCTATCTATCTATCTATCTATCTATCTATCTATCTATCTATCTATCTATCATCATCTATCCATCTATCTATCATCTATCAATCATCTATCTATCTATCTATCTATCATCTATCTATCTATCTATCATCTATCTATCTATCATCTATCATTTATCTTCAATCATTCAATGATAGTCATTGTACATAGTAAAGGGTTTCATAAGGATTTTTTTTTTGTCTTTTTGAGATGCTGAAAGAGAATATGAAGCTCCCTCAGCTGGGGAAGGACAGAATTACAGCAATTAATCACCAAGAGCCCTATGGTCTCCCCCTCCCCTCTAATCTAAGCAGTCTTTATTTTCCACAGTAGTAAATTTTCTAGATACATCTCATAGACTTCAAAGCACTGAAGAGGAAGCTCCTACTCCTACAAAGATGATTTATCTCAAGATACTCTACATGACACTAATTTTTATCCATTTGAAATATATAAACTGTGCTATACAATAAAACATCCTATCAAGTATAACAAACTGTCCATGCACTTGAATTTCTGAGGTCAAGGAGGTATATTTAAATTGATTCCCATAAAGAACGGTGGGACTCAGCTAACATGCTGAGGACCCAGGTTTGATTCCCAATATCATAAAACAAGTGTGTGGTATTTTTTAAAAAGAAGAATCCTTGGAGCTGGAGAGATGGCTCAGAGGTTAAAAGCACTGACTACTCTTGCAGAGGACCCAGGTTTGATTCCCAGCACCCACCTTATAGTTGAACAGACACATCACACAATCACCTGCTACTGACACATGGCCTGGATCTGCCTTTTCCCTACCACAGCCCCTACATGGTGGCCCTTAATGTAGATTGGAAGGCTTCAGGTAGCAGCCTGCTGGGCTTGGTGGGGGTGATTTGCCTGTACCTTGCTTTCTTAAGTCTTAAGTGACATCCCTTACAGGCCACCATCCTGTCCCCACTCTCTTCCATTCCCATTCTTGACTGAACCTAGATTGTAATCCTCTGCTTCCTCTAAAATTGGCCTTCAGTGAAAATTTTGGGGCTTTCCTTTCTCTTCTCCCTAACCTTTCTCCCTCCTCCTCAACTCCCTTATTGCCAATCACCACCTGACACATTCACAACACTCGTTGTGGCCAAAAGCCATCAGATGTGGTTGGAGGAGTCTGGCCTTCCTCACTTAGCTCTGGAACCACCCTCATTCACTCACCACCAGCCTGGGAAGTGAATGCTGGGTCCTCCACCTTGCCATCCTATTATCACCATCAGCTGATGCACTTTGAGCTCGAATCTTAGGGTGACTCAGACCTGCCAGCACTCACAGTCATTGATGTTTACACCAG